TGATTTGAAGGTGGGGGGCACCATGAAGGGAGAACTTTGATGCAAAGGGAGGAACCCCACTTTTTTGTGTTTCTTGGCATGGGAGTTGAGAAACGCTGTTATAGGGTGAGCTGTGCACTGTAAATGCACCAGCAAGTGATCAACAAATCATCAACTATGAGTCTGTCAGCTGCTGCGGAACAGGTCCTGATATACACTAGAAGACCTCAGACCTGGCCAGTGCATATATCCTACGAACTATCCCGTAGTGTATTCATGTGAAGCCACGATGCCGCAATGACTCCCTCCCATTCTATACAATCTCTTCTGTGATCCATATTCTCCCCTTCACCCTCATTACCCACTTCTTGCCCTTTTACCACTCAGTCCCCTCGTCCTTGTACTCACCTGCCTGGCACTACGAAACACGGAACCCAGCAAGGACGCCGCCATCTTCCCGGCTGTCAATTCAAGCGCGTCCAACTTTATTGTTCTGCACAGAGTGTGTTCTTCGCTGGGCGGATAGTCTGAGCACGGTCACCATGGTAACAAGAGACGGAAACCCGCGATGCAGCCAATGAGCGGCTAGTAGTTTACTGCACAGGTTACATTCAGTGCAGCATGAGTTATAATTATTAGCTGGCTCAATGAGATTTACTCTCAGCATGGATATTATAGAGGGCTATGATGGACACCGACTCTGGGGAAAAGACTCCACAAGTTTTAATATATAGTATGTATGTAAGGGAGACAGTTTAGTATATAGGCAAATAACTCACCTCCAGTCACACAGATCATAAAGAATTAGCATGCAACAGATAATTTGTTAAACCTACCAGAGATTTTTTTTTCCAACTCTGTTTTTCCTTTTTTAATGGCTTTTTGAATTAACAAATGCAATATGTAGAGCAGTAAGGGCCAGTTCACCAGCAGACTGTAGACAGAGCCGGTGTTCTGTCGAAAGCACCAACTCCTCTAGACCTCCAACGTCCTGACTTCTGGTTTAGTTAGAAGTAAGAGGTTTGACCGAGAAGGCTGTACTGCAGTGCGCCACCCACGGCATTTCCCTATACACATATACTACACAGCAATAAAGTATTCAAATGAACTAGGGTCAGACTAATCCAGCATGTCATTAATATCAGTTGCCCCACTCAATATGGCCCCAAGCGGCGGACATATTGAGTGGGGCAACTCAGATTAATAACGTGCTGGATTTGTCTGAACCCAGTTCATTGTAATACTTTATTGCTGTGTAGTATGTCTATAGGGAAATGTCGCGGGTGGTGCACGTGCAGTAGAGCCTTCTCGGGCAAACCTCTTACTTCTAACTAAACCAGAAGTGAGGTAGTTGGAGATCTTGACGAGTTGGAACTTTCGATAAAACACCGTCCTCCATAGAGGGGCGCCGTGCCCCTCTATGGAGGACGGTGCCATAGAGGTACCTACTCTGCCTAATAGTACCTACTCTGCCTAATAGTACTCTGCATAATTCCCATACAACACCAGCAATAGCAAGGAGGGTGCATTCTTCACAAAATGCCCCCTCCTGCTCAAAGACCAGCTGTGCCTACAGAAACCGCTGACTTCTGCAAACACAGGGGAAGGATCCCGGCGTTGCATAAGGCTGCCCTGTAAAACGCCTGTCTGATGTGCACAGGCAGTTACAGCAGCCTTATGCAATTCGTGCCTACTGGTGCCTGAAATGGAAATCCAGCCCTGACTGTAGAGGGGACAGTCGGTGGGCAGTAGGAGTAAAAAAAAAAAAAAAAAAGCCCTGGCATCAGGTCAGCGGGGTGTGTGTGTAACCCTTCCAGGGGTCAATCGGAGTAAACAATGCTCCTTTCTTGGCAAAAAATGGAAGTAAACAATGCCCCTGTGTTGGTGGTAAGTGGGAATAAAAAGTACCCCATCGATGTTATCGAAGAGATTAGGATAGCAGAACCGTCATTGGTGTCAGTGGGAGTAGGAAAGCCTCCCCGTCTTTGGTGTTCATTGGAGTAAGAAAGCCTCCCCATCGCTGGTATCCATTGGAGTAGGAAAGCCTCCCCGTCTTTGGTGTTCATTGGAGTAAGAAAGCCTCCCTATCGCTGGTGTCCATTGGAGTAGGAAAGCCTCCCCATCACTGGTGTCAGTGGGAATAAGAAAGCCTCCCTATCATTGGTGTCAGTGGGAGTAAGAAAGCCTCCCTGTCATTGGTGTCCATTGGAGTAAGAAAGCCTCCATATCAATGGTGTCACTTGGAGTAGGAAAGCCCAAATGCACCGATGCCTAGCCCGATACCTGAACTACCAATATCAGGAAGTCGAGCAGTGAGTCATTACACGCTGCCCGGTTTCCGGATTGGCCCGGGAAGCCGCCTCCATGCTCCCTCGTCACTTGGGACAAGGGAGCATGGAGCCGGCCATTTAGGAAGCCGGGCAGTGTGTAATGACTCGTCGTCTGGCTTCCTGATTGGTCGGGACGCTGTCCAATCAGGAAGCCAGGCGGTGAGTCCCCCAGCTTCCTGATTGGTCAAAAAGCCAGCTTCAATCTTCCTCGTCACCTGGTGACGAGGAAGCATGGAGACGGCTTCCCTGCTAATCGGGAAGCCACGTGCGAGTCTTTACACGCTGCCGGACTTCCCAGCTAATCAGGAAGCCAGGTGGTGAGTCATTACACGCCGCGTGACTTCCTTAATGGGACTTTCGGTATCGGTGAATACTGAAGAAAAGTATCGGTACTCGTACTCGATATCGAAAAACCGGTATCGGTGCATCCATAATTATAACCCTCCCTTACTCTATCCAAAAAATGTTTGTCTTCACTTCTTCCTATGAAGTGACCTCCGCCACCATGCAAGGAATGTGTTGAACATTTTTAGGTGCACAGCAATATGCAGTACCATCGAGAGGAATGATACATTTTTGTCTGTAACAAATTACCCCCCGTTTGATTTTATAACGATCGAGCAATTAAATAAAAAGACATTAGTTAACCTGATATAGCTGAAGAGTTTTCTTTAGGGAGCAAATAAGTGCGTAATTACGTAGATAATGATTTAGAAACAACACCGTGTTGTACAGCATTCCAGCACACATCATTACCAAAATCAGCTTCACCATACAATTAAAATGGAAGTGATTAGCACAATCTTCACTGTGTCTTGTTAATTATTTGTAGCAGTTTTATATACCATGTTGTGTTGTTGCACTGAAAATGTAGTGATTCAGTGATAAAATTAGCTGAGCTTGGATCTAAACAACAAAAATTTTATAATCCGCAGATGCGGGAAAAAGACGGTTGCACGTCGGCCTGTATGTGGTATTCCAAAATCTTATAGGTTTCTTCTAACACAATTTATGACAAAAGATATAAATTGATATCCACTAAACCAACGCTGCAATAAAATATGACCAATTGGTCATACAGACGGATTTATTTATAAAATCTATGCCAGGGTATAGGTGGGCAGATGCCATTTACACAGCATTCGCACCACTAGATGGGGCCATTGCGGGCTCTCTGGTGGTCAGTGTGGACTCCAGGTGGTCAGTACAGGCTCTCAGGTGGTCAGTGCGGGCTCTCAGGTGGTCAGTGCGGGCTCCAGGTGGTCAGTGCGGGCTCCAGGTGGTAAGTGATGGCTCCAGGTGGTCATTATGGGCTCTCAGGTGGCCAGTGTGGGCTCCAGGTAGTCAGTATGGGCTCCAGGTGGTCAGTATGGGCTTCAGGTGGTCAGTGTGGGCTCAATACAGTCAGTGCAGGCTCCAGGTGGTCAATGAGGGCGGTCAGTGCGGGCTCCAGGTAGTCAGTATGGGCTTCCGGTGGTCAGTATGGTCTCCAGGTGGTCAGTGGGGGCTCCAGGTGGTCAGTATGGGCTCTCAGGTGGTCAGTGCAGGCTATCAAGTGGTCAGTATGGGCTCCAGGTGGTCAGTGGGGGCTCCAGGTGGTCAGTATGGGCCCTCAGGTGGTCAGTGCAGGCTCAAGGTGATCAGTGTGGGCTCCAGGAGGTCAGTGCGGTCTCCAGGCAGTGAGTGTGGGCTTCAGGTGGTCAGTATGGGCTCTCAAGTGGTCAGTGCAGGCTCTCAGGTGGTAAGTGTGGGCTGCAGGTGGTCAGTATGGGCTCCACTGTGTAACCTGAATAAAAACGTTTCTAAACTAGTGCATTATATTTTGTATGTTTTTATTATCTGTATAATCTGGTAACAGAGACCAAAATATTCTTTAAAAATATTTTTGATCACGGGATATAGACCAGGGGTGCAACAAAACTCAATAAAAGTAGATTTGTGGGTCAGGGCTCCAAACTGGGTCCCAAATCACTTATTTGGCTGCGATGATGCACTGTTGGGCTCTGTTTGCAGACATACTTTTTTGGGGACATAGAAAAGTTTCAAAATTGGGGCGATGATGGCATGTTGACACGACATCTATAAAGGAAATTCTGGCTTTCTGAGTTAAAGACCAACTCTGGGCAAAGCAAGAACTCCAAAGACATGCTGGCAAGTTAATTGGCTCCTGTTTAAATTGGCCCTCTATGTATGCATGTGAGATAGGGACCTTAGACTGTAAGCTCCTTGAGGGTAGGGACTGATATGAATGTGCAACTATGTAAAGTGCTGCGTAAATTGTCGGCGCTATATAAATACTTGTAATAATAATAATAATAATAACCCCCATAGTACCCCCTCTCTAACTGATCAGTGGTGTAAAAAAAAAAAATGGCCCTTTTTACTCACCTAAAGCTTAACCCAAGGTCAGGGGACATTCGAATCATCCTCTCCTTCTTCTCTATAGATCCGGCGGGGTCTTCTTTTATTGCCCTTGTCAATGTCTGCGTGATGTTAAGACTTTCTGTTTATGAGACCGGGGGGGGGCTCCAAGGTGACCAGTCCTCAACGAGATAACGAGCTGGGAAAAATGCTAGGTGCACAGGGCCGGAGATATTAATTATTTTTACCTGGAGTTGGGCTTAAAAGATTTTTTTAAAGATAAGAATGATAGTGATTGTTTGTTTTTTACTCCTTTAAATTGCTTCAAGTTCTTTCATTTTGTAATATTTTTCTTAATAAAATAGCATGGAATTCACTCCTAGCACAAGTATGAAGAACATGCAAACGTCTGCTGCATTACCTCGACATGCCTGTAGGTGGTGCTATGGGCTTTTACATTTTTTGCTGGATACTGGCCCTGTAGGCAGCAGTTTTATGATCAATAATCATAGCTACAACTTAATCACTTTAACTTCTAGTTTGGAAAGCAAATAGACATATATTTCTGAACGGAATAAAAAGTTCTAGATTTATAAGGTAAACAATAACAGATAACCAACCAGCAGTATGTGATGCAGCTTTCAAAAATCAGAAAATCTACTCAGTTATCTTTAATCTATGTAAAAAATACAGGCTGATTCGGCAAGCTTTTCAGAGATTTTTGGCAGATCTGCTACTCCTTGTGACACCATTCTGCCATAACCTCACATGATTATGTGCTGTGAAACCTCACTTTT